AAAGTAGTTACCTGCAGTTGCAATCGGACTGGGATCATGCGCAGCTACCTCCACGTGTGGAGGTTCCAGCCAAGGACCCATGAATTGCAAGTTCAACACCCGAGTCACTTGGCCGCCAGTCAAATTGCATCATTCAAGCAGGGTGGTCAGGCTATTTGTAGCGAGATTTATTGTTTTTGAGAACATTCATCGCAACTAGACTAGGTCAGACAGCCATTACACATCCAGGAATGTGCTGGACGGCCGTTTCGTCCTATGGGGACTAGTCGGCGGATGCGCGCTACTGACGAGTCCCAGTCAGATGCAACAGCCATCTAACGCTCTCCCGGATGTGTGATTACTGTTTGGCTGAGCCTGTGATGGGTGTCATATTAGAGTACACGAATGGAGAAAACCAATGAGCCGGGCAACTAATGGGAGACGGATGTAAAGTTTTCAATAAATGGATGCGAATTTGTCGACATTTGTGAGTTACTCGCTGTCTATTTAACTGGGTCAAAGAAAGAATCTTATCGGCTCAGAAGAGTCGTTAGTTATGGACGTGAACAGGCGATTTATATCGTGGAGTTCAGCTTACCAAACATGTGTTAATTGTCGTGGAGTTGGCTTTGCCGAATAAACGCTTGTTCCTGAGGGACTGAATTCTGCAACATTGAGCCAGAGAAGACCAAGACGAACCCCACTGGCCACACAGTCGCTGATTGGATCAACACCAGCTGTTCAAATGCCTGACCCATTGAATATGAATGACAGAACTTCGTAAGCAATTGAAGTGTATGGATGAGTAAGCGGGTGGATTTCTACACACTAATACGTTTGGCCAAGTTTCGACATGCAGTCGCGGATGATGCGTGCTGTGTGCTAGCGAGATTACACTGCGACAAAGACCTCAGTGATTTGGAGACGGTCATTGAAAAGTTCAATGAATCCTGCGAAGGCCGAAGCAACGAGACCTACCAGCGTCATATTTTCTTTCAGCGAAGCAGAGGCTCTAATGAATCCGTCGACGTGTACGTCCCTGAGTTGAAGATATTGGCCAGGTCCTGCATGGGCGACAGTCTCATGCGATCGGATCGCCCTAGGAATCAATGATGAAATTACGACAAAGCGGCCTTTGAGACAACGCAATCTATCGCCCCAGCATTGTATTGATATCCGCAACAGTGAGTCCTCGATCGCGTATCAATACCACCAAATGAAACTCGCAACTGACGCAGAATTGTGTGCCGTTTCCGGAGGCAATGCCACGGAAGCTACCAATGTGAGTTAGGAGATCTGCAAATTTTGCGCTGCGCGACACCCGAGCACTGCAGAACAGGGTCCAGTGTGGGGAAGAAAATGCGCGAAATGCAGAAAAAGATAGCATTTTGCTCGTTATTTTCAATCAACTAATGTGAGTGCGCCCGTTCGTGACAACTCACCCACAAACGTAGAACATTCAATTGGCAACGTGCCTCAGAAGGTGTCAAAAAACTTGTCTACGCAAGCCTTTTGATCGAAGACAGCCGTACGACACCAGTTAGACACGGGTGCTACGGTTAACGTTCTAGCCAGGAAGCACTGTCACGGGGTGTGCATGTGATCCGACCAAGATTGCCTGCGTATGTGGACGGACTCCAGACTTCATCCGACGGGTTCAGTTACAATAGAAGTGGTTAACCCCAGGGACGGAGCCTCACATAGCCTGAAGTTTGTAGTAGCGGAGGAGCTCACGCCGATTCTCAGCACTTATTCGATTCAGTCTCTTGGTTTTGTTATTTTTAATCATGTTTGTTCTGTGCATGCTTGCCGAGGAGAAACCGACATTAGCGAACAGTCTGTTTAGCCCGGGTTTGGGAAAATCTGGGGGAACCGCTCACTTGTCGTCAGATCCTTTGAGAAGACTGACTGCCACGAGTGACAAGTTCTCTGTCCAATTAAGCAAATTACTGGGTGAGAGTATGATTGCCAAAGTAGACGATGCAACAGACTGGGTTAGTCAGATTGCGACCAATACGAAGAAGATGGGCGAATTGCGAATTGACCCGAAGCCGTTGCATAGGGCCTTGTGTAGAGAACATTATGCGCTACCGACCCCTAAAAGACATTTTGCCGCGTTTGGCCAAGCCCAAGTATTACACGAAGGTAGACCTGTCTTCCACGTCCTGGCACGTGGTTCTAGATGAAGAATCCAGTTTCCTTACTACATTTGCCATACCGTTCGGGCGTTATCGTTGGCTGCGTTTACCATTTCGTTTAAAGATTTCGGACGACATTTTTCTAAAACGGTTGGTGCAAACGATAGACGATTTAGATGGTGTAACATGTGTGGGAGACGATGTTCTGATATAAGGCTAGACGAAAGGAGATCACGACACTAATCCCCGCCGTTTCTTGCAGCGTTGTGTACAAAAAACATCAGGCTTAAACGAGAAAAAACTGAGCTTCGGAAGGATAAGGTAATTTTCCATAGACGTGCTAAAAACCAAAGGAATCAGAGTCGATCCAGGAAAAATTAGGGCAATAAGAGAGATGCCGCTCCCTAAGGACGGTATGGTAAATTATTTGAGCCGTTTTATGCCAAGATTTGCTGATATCAGGACGCCGATCAAGAAGCTAACTCAAAGGAGTAAAGTGGAGTTGGGAAAAGAGTAGGAAATCACGTTTGTGACCATTAGGCACTTTGTCAGCAATGCGCGCCTGTACTCAGATATTACGATACAGCGCAGCTTCTGGGTGTACAGTTTGACAGTAGTCAGCACGGAATAGGTGCTATTCTCCTACCGAATGGAAAAATTTTGGATTGTCGCAGTCGAACACTCACAATGACCGAGCAACGTTATGCGCAGATAGAGAAGGAGATACTCGCGATAGTCTATATGCCATGGATCGTTACAACGATTATGCCGACTACAAGCTACTTGTGTCGATAGCCAGTAAACCGATGCACATCGTTCCTCGTCGTCTTCAGTGTATACTTATACGGATACAAAAGTACGACGTGGATACCCTGTACACACCTGGTACAAAGATGTGCATCGCGGATACGCTGTCAAGAGCTCATCTGCCGGCACCCGAGCATAATCCGGAAGAGGTCGAAGCAGTAGACTTAGTACAGCATCTGGCGGTGACAGAAAACTGCTTAAAAGAAATAAGACGCCACACAGAGAAGATACAAGGCTTCAGGTTTGCGAACTATTATCTTAGGTGGGTGATTATAGACAAAGAAGCGACTGCCGAAGGAACTAACGCCCTACTTCGATTTCGGGATGAACTCTCTATGATGGTTTGCTGTTCAAGTGAGGCCGTATTTTGATCCTACCATCGCCCTGAGAAGAAATGCTGACACGTTCTTTGTGCTTACCCGGGTGCCAACTATACCATTAACCGAGAAAGGGGTTTGATCTCTTGGACAATAATGACGGGTCAAATCAGAGATCATGTGTCGAATTGTGAGACATGCCGTTCACACGAAATCAGGCAGACGACGCAACCATTGATGCTACATGGGGTACCTGATCGACCGTGGCAGGTGACGGTAGATTTATTCAGTGATAACGGGAAAGGCTACTTACTCACGGTGGATTACTATAGTGATTATTTTGAAATCGATTTGTCCGCCACTACGACCACAGAAGCAGTAATCAACAAGCTCAAATGCCATTTCGCGTAGCACAGAATACCGGAAGAGTTGGTCTCCGACAATGCCCTCCAGTTAACCAGCGCTGCGTTCCAAGTCTTCGCAACCAAGTGGGAATTTTTGCACCAGTAAACCCCCACCGCCAATCGAATGGAAAGGCGGAGTCGGTAGTGAAACCGGACAAGCCACTGTTGTCAAAGGCTATAGCTACTGGAGAAGATCCGTACCTCATACTACTTCAATGGATATCGGTTTGAGCCCAATGCAACGCCTATACAGCCAACGGACTAGAATTCTGATGCAGGCATCTGCCACACTATTGCACACAGTTTTGCCACAGTGTGAGATACTACAGAACAGTCTGAGACGACGAATGATTACTTAGAAACGGTACTAAGACCATGGTGCACGGGTACTAGCTGAGCTAACAATGCGGGGGAAATGTGGGTTTAACCAATATCAGATGATCAGAAACAGTGCAAAAAAAGTATGGTGACTGTGAAGACCGGTGCAAGGTCATACGCAATAAGTGTTAAAGGGAAAACGCTCAGAGGGAATCGAGTACATTTGAGACGACACCGGAGACAAAAATCTGGATTGGGAGTGGAGCGCCAGATGGCGTGGGGCAATAATAATAATAAATAATAATAATGTCAGCTGTACGCCGTAACGGCGCTTCGCTGCCGCGCGACCACCACCAGTCGCGCGCGGGCTGAGTATACCACGAGGACGCCCACACTTACGCGGATTCGAACCGGTGAACTTATGATTGCAAACCAAACGTGCAGATCACTCGACCACCGGCTGACGCAAGGAGAGCACGACTTCAGATAAAGCCTCGACGATGCGGAGTGGCAAAGTGTACGGAGTGCTTAGTAATATGGAGGCGCAAGAACACGAAAAAAGGGAGGATGCGTCATATCAGAGCGAACAGATGGACCGAACGAGTGAGCCAGGCAACTAATGGGAGACGGACGTAAAGGTTTCAATAAATGGACGCGGATTGGTCGACATTTATGAGTTACTCATTGTCTATTTAACTGAGTCAAAGGAGAAACTTTATCGGCTCAGAAGAGTCCCTAATTATGGACGTGAACAGGCAATTTATATCGAAGAGTTCCGCTTGCCAAACATGCTGTAATTTTTGCTGTTAGATTTGCCAAATAAACGCCGAATGACAGTTCTGCAACATTATCTGCGAAGAATCTTCTCAAGAACAAGTTCATATATGAATATCCATGGAAAGGAGCTATCTCGGTCAATTGGGATGAGTAAACCGGCGAGCACGACACGTTCGTAATCAAGAATCAGCGCACATTACTCGTTTGATAGAATAAAGAATTACTAAAGAAATGAATTCCGAAACACCTCGATCATCCACCTGTATCCACACATCGACTTGGTCCTCGAACATGGCCAGTTTGTTTGGAAGGATTTCAGACAACACGACGACCACAAACCGTTTGCCCAGTTCAGTCAAACGATTTTGCAGTCTCTGGAGAACCACTGGAGAACCTTGCCTGCCGAGGGAACCTGAGGAGAGATGAGCACGAGTGACGTAAGGTCTGGGTCTAAGCATGAAACAAGATGACTGCCAAACCGTTTCAGATTGTTGTCCAATTTTATTTCATCGACTGTGTCAAGTTTGTGTACTCTAGAAGCTCACACTTACTTTATTCGTTTCAGTGAAGAAAATCAATTCTGAGGCACAGAGTGGCAACCAAATTTTTAACTTTAAAGAATAACTTAAACATAAGAGATATACGAATGCAAGCCAGGAGCGCTTTCCTTCGTATGCAACAGTGAGACGTTGAGCCCATGAATATCTCTGAGGGAAGGCGTCGATACAAGACGTGAGACGGTCCGGATGGCCTATCGATACAACTGTCTAAGAAACGTTTCCGATGTAGAGAAGTTGTCATGAAAAGATCGCGAATGAGTGTTAGTGAAAAAGCTCACACAATTAGAATTAAGCTATCAACTGCCGAAAGGACTATTAGTGATCATCTGGATAAGCCAAACTTGTGTACGCTATTCGTACCAGGAATACTACCTTTGGAGACGAAGGAAGACCATGTCTGATGTTAGAGAAAAACCTTGAGCGAGCACACAAGACTGTGACTAAGTTAAACGGTGGTTAATGCCAACGAATGGGTTCAATGATCATGTTCCTGTAACTCCAACCACATCAAGATCAAAACTGATCGAACAGTCCTCAGAGAAAGGTATCTGCGACCGGGCGCAGGAGTCCCTCTGAAAGGGTCATGAGATGGAAACCGGGCGTGTTGATCATATATATATATATATATATATATATATATATATATATATATATATATATATATATATATATATATGTATATATATGTAAATGGATGGCGGCATTTGTTTCCGGATTTGCCTGTCAGTGCGGCCTCCATAGGACAGCCACAGGATGCCTGCGCCTACAGAGGGACCATGGCTGGCTTGCGCTGCACCACCCACACACCCCATATCCAGTGTAAACCTGAAGGAATAAGACCGAGAGGCATGTGGATAGGAGCCACGTTACATCAACGGAGCCAGCCCACACTCCTTCACAAGCACGCTGTATTTGGGAATCAGTCGCACACAAGGCGGTGGCTGGACCGTAGTCCGCTCCACACTGAGTGCATGGAACCACTCTTCGAGCCTTTCACGGTCACGAGCACCGTGCACCCCGTCCCCTCCAAGAACGATCAACTGTCTCTTGGAGCCAGTGTGGAACAGGTAGTGGGAAATAGACAGGTAGGCACCTTGTCAACATGCACATCAAGCGCAGCCACACCTGGGATATCAAACAACAGCCAAACACTTGAGATGAAAAGAACAAATAATATATATCGAATGAAGCATACGGATATGCCGGCATAACTCTCCGCTAAATTAGCATAGGTAATAGATTGGTTATCAACAAATCTGCACTAAATACAAGGCGTCATAAAATATACTTTTAAAAATGCCACAAACGCGAAAATACTAACCACGTTAACACAATTAGCTTAAGCGATGTGGACAAGTTAAAAGAAGACTTTCATCGTGTCTGACAAGGTGTGCCTCGATCCTTTCGAGAATAAACTATTTATTTATTGATTCAGGTAGACGTTAAAATGAGGTGAAAATAGCATTAAGACAAGATAGCAGAGCCACCACCTGAAATAAACTCAGCACGCAAGCACGTGGTTAATAAATCGAATGTAGCGTACCTACCGCCCCTGCGCCGCTTCTGCTTACGTTCTCAGCAGAATTAGTCGTCTTTTCGATGTTGGTCCTGAGTGGCTCACCAGGCCTGCCTGACTCATGCACTCGCGATCGCATTGCTACAGCATCATGTGCTCGACGTCGGTGGAGTACAGCCCATCGGCGCCTGTCGCTTCCGCACTTGCCGCTTCTTCTCTGCATGTACGAGGGCTTTCTCTTACACCTCGGCAATTGCCTTCGTGAAAAGATCGTGTCATGCACGCTGATCAATCGAGCTGGATTCCCAATGCCTGAAGTCAATATTAGAACGTGACAGGCTCACATTGATCATGTCCTGGTAACAAAGCTTCGGTTTCCCCACATGCCGCCTCCCAACATTCAGTTGACCATATTATAGCTGCTTCGGTATCCGAATCGAATCCATACACCACAAATGATCGAGCCACCTTAGGTGTCTCAGCAAAGGTATACAGTTCACTGCATACATCCCACTTCGGCGCAACACCTCCGTGTCTGCTGCTCTGTCGCACCAACCGATACGCAGAATCCGTCGCAGATACTGGTGATGAAACCGCTTGAGATATCTCACATCTCGCCGGTACGTCGTCCACATTTTACTCAAGCTTCCCGAAGGCCGCCGCTGCCTTCGATACGCAGCTCACTGTGTATCTGCTGGTCAGTCGAAACCACACTGTCAAAATAGCAAAAGCTGATGGTTTCCAATATTTTGTCACCAATGATGATTTGCGGAAACATTGCAGCTCCGGTGTAGGCTGAGAGACAGTTTTGTTTATGTTGATGAGCCTGAATTTGGTCGCTGTCAAAGCCAGTGCGCTAGTCATGTGCTGCAACTCATCCACGCTGTGTGCAAACAACGCACAGTCGTCAGCAAACAGCAACATACGGATAGTTGTCGCACAAATTAGACTTCTCGCACCGAAACGACGGATGTTCAACAGCCCACCATCAATACGGTGCTTCACACGAACACCGTAAACACAAGCCGCATCGAGTGCACACGACATCACGGCATGAAGATAGTTGTTAATCAGGGCAAGAGTTAAGACACGGCCTTACTTCACATCAGGGACAACTGCAAAGTCATTTGAGGTCTGTCCACTCAGCTGCACCTTCGCCGGCATACCACTGTGCAGACATTCAATCAAACGGATAAACTTACTCGGACAACCAAACTTACCCAACACCAGCCGAAATGTCTCGCGGTTCACTGTATCAAATGCTTTGGTGAAATCAACAAACAGCGAGTACATCGGCTGGCGTCGCTCTCTGCATTTCTCATGCAACTGACGAGCCGCAAACACCATATCGATGAGGGATCCCGAAGCAGCTATTATATGGTCAGCTGAATGTGGGGAAATCGAAGCTTTGTTACCAGGATATGATCACGGTGAGTCAGTCACGTTCTAATATTGGTTTCAGGCGTTGATAATCGAATGCGGCTGATCGGCGTGCATGGCGCGATCTGATCAGGAAGGCAGTTGCCGAGGTGCAGCAGAAAGCACTCGTGTATGTGAGGAAGAAGCAGCAGGTGCGGAACCGACATGCGCCGATAGAGTGTACTCCATCGACGTCGAGCGCATGGTGCTGTAACACATGCGGTCGCGAGTCAATGAGTCAGTCCAAGCGGGACCAGTATCGAAACGACGACTAGTCCTGTTGAGAACGTAAGCAGAACCGGCACAGCGTTGGTAGGTACGCTACATGCGCTTCCATTCGAAAGTGAGATTATCCTCTACGCAGCCGTGCACTGAAGATGCCACTGGGCGAAGTGGTGAAACGTTTGCCATTACATTAATCAGCTCCGAGAACCAATGAAGACCTTAACTACCAACCCGAAATACAGGTATTTCGAATCATTTCATACTACCCGGTTGACCAGACTGAGTAGAGTTGCGCAACTTTGTGCCAATAATAATCATCATCATCATAATTACACGTTAGCTGGAGGTGGAAAACACCTCAGCTATTGTGCCGCAATACAAAAGAAAAGGAAAACAGTGGCACGCCCGCTGAGTCCCCAGTAATGGATGGACATCGTTCCGGAGAGCTAACAGCTGGCTGCCGTAAAAGAGAATCGTATTATGCCTAACTGGTGAGATCGTGATTAGAGGGGGATACTAAACAGGAGGAGGATGGACAAAGGAAATCACAACACAAACGCCATTGGGGCCGGCTCCGAGCCATATCAGCAAGTGTGTCCAACCAAACGTGTTCACCGTCCTTAGGACCCCAGCCAGGCAGTCGGGATGCACCAACCGACGCCAACTTCGAAGTGAGGGTTTTCATTTCTCTCGACCAAGTCATCACTTGGCCTCCCCTCCTCCTCTTCCAACCGCACCCACAACGCGCAAACAATGCACGTCGCGGCAGTCGGTGTGCTGGCATGCGCAACACGTGGCCCAGCCATCGGAGCCTGGTGCGTGATATAATGGTGCTGAGCGGTTCACTCGCTCTTCCTGCACCAAATACGCCACGTCGAACACGCTCATTGCTCACGCGGTGTTCCCACCAGACATGAGCTAAGCTGCGAAGGCAGCGATGATCGAATGTGACGAGCCTCTTCATGTCTGTCGACCTGATGGGCCAGGTTTCACAACCATATAGGAGAGTTGAACGGACGGCTGCGTTGTAAACTCTGCCCTTCAGGGCGAGAGTAATGTCGCGTCTGCGCCACAGGTTGCGGAGATTAGCAAAAGCACCTCGAGCTTTTGCTATGCGGTTCGTAACCTCATCTTCAATCCCACGGGTGCCAATATAGCTGCCCAGGTACTTGAATTCCTGAACGACTTCTAGCAGCTCACCACCAAGCGTTAGCGCAAAGTTGGGTCCCTGCCAATCTTGGAGAAGTACTTTGCATTTCGATGGAGCAAAGCATAGCCCAAAATGATTGACAGCCAATGCTAATCGGTCCAGTGCTCTTTGGCATGTTTGGGGGCTGTCACAGATTAGGGCAATATCGTCCGCATACTCCAAGTCAAGAAGTCGCTCAACAGAAAGTAGCTCCACACCTTCTAGGTCGTGTCCAGCGAACGCTGTTTCCATGACTTCATCAATAGCGAAGTTGAAGAGGAAAGGTGACAGCGGCATCCTTGTCTCACACCGCTGGTGATACTGAAGGGTGGCGAGAGTTTGCCATAAACCCTCACCCTGCCCGAACTATGCGCGCACAGCGCTTTGATAATGTTTACATATTTATCAGGCACAGCTTTCCTCAGCAGACAGTCCCAAAGGGCACATCGATCGACTGAGTCGAAGGCACCTTTTATGTCAAGAAACACGACAACGGTGGGTCGCCAATAAACATGGCGGTGCTCCAACACTTGACGCAACGTGAAGATGTGGTCGATGCAGCCCCGACCTCGACGAAATCCGGCTTGCTCTTCACGAATCTGGCTTTCACGAGTGCCAGTCAGTCTGTGGAGAATGACAGAGGCAAGAAATTTAGAGGCAATCGAAATCAGACTGATCCCTCTATGATTGTCGCATTCCAAACGGGAGCTTCCCTTGAAAATTGGGACAATGACGGAGCGGTTCCAGTCTGTCGGGACTGTCTCCTGCTCCAAAAGTTTTACTAGCAACTCGTGTAGATCATCTACTAGAGCAGGTCCCCCGAATTGGAAGAGGGCTGAGGGAATTCTATCTTGAAACATTGAGTCCCCTTCAACCACTTCATTAAGGCAGTAAGAAGACATAGGTTGCGATATGTTAACATTTCGATTGCTCTCGTCAGTCGCAACGCAATACAGGCAAGACAAAACACGCAATATATAGGGTTCACACTTAGTAACAAAGATAAGCAGATAAAAATGATAAGAATGACGTAATCAGGTCCAAGGCAACCTAATTGATTGTCTCAACTGTTTCTGGGCACAGAGCACGGGACAATTCAACCTTATCAGTAGCGCCTCGCCAATTGCCAACAACCTCGGGTTGCTGTTGCGCAATAACACCTTGAATGAATCGATTGGGTTCACCTGGTGACGAGTCGTCATGAGGTGTTTGGTGATAGACGAGGCAGGGTTCCGGTTAATTCTTTGGTCCGCTCCGCCTTGGTTAAACAGCAACTGCCTTAGCCACATTGGGAAGTGTTCCGCCATCCTTTGAGCTAGCCGCCGACCAGTCTTGCCTATGTATTCTATCTGCCCCTGCGGCCTTATGCAATTTCAACAGCCTGATCTCACGTTCGACTTCTGCGCGTGAGGGCGGATCCGAGGAGACGGTCCAAGGAGAAGGGCGCTCAATGCCCGAAGAAGAAAGCGATAACTCAGGTTTGTTAAATTGCCTTGCAAAGTGTTCAGCCCAACGCTCCAAGCGTTTTGACAGGCTGTGGATCGGCTGCCCACTCTCGTCGCGTATGGTCTCGCTAACACCAGGTCTCCTGCTGCCTGTTTCCCGTATCAGACGGAATAACTTACGATGATTACCCACAGCAGCGGCTGTTTCCATCTCAGAGGCACGATGAGACCACCAGGTTTCGCGGTCCTTCCTAAGGCTAGCACGTAGTTTTGCCCTGAGATTTTTGCGAGCCTCATTGTATTCGCTTTCAGCCGGAATACGTCGGCGAGCATCCATAAGTTCCAGAGACAGTGTAGAGACCCAATGTCCGGTTTTGCAATATGTTTTGCCACATGAAGACATGTCTGCTAATAGCAACGCTTGACGAATATGCGACCAGTGATCTTCAACGGTGTTTAGTGGGCGCTTACTCAGCCCAGATGTCAGCGCACTGTGGTACGCATTCAGAACATCTGGCTTCGCCAACTGGCTGGTGTCAATCCGTTCACATCGACGTTGCGGACGTCCACCGAAACGCACCCGAAGGTCGGCACAGACAAGTGCGTGGTCAGAGTCCACGCTCGTGCTCCAAAATCGAGAGACAATTTTGGACACAGCCTCTCCAGCGGTAACTGATCGCGATATGATCGATTTGCATCCATGGTTGGCCTGAGGCTGGTGGCCGCCAAGTCACGCTTCTGCGGGTGCTGTGTCGAAAGTTAGTGCTCGCGAGAAAGAGGCGAGCATCTTCACACAGCTGTAACAATCGCTCACCGTCATCATTACGGGAGCCCACACCATGTTGGCCACCCAGATGATGCTCATCAGAGGACAATTTTCCGACTTGGGCGTTTAGATCGCCAGCCAACACCACAGTATCCGTGCTTCTTCTGTAAGGAAGGAGCTCGTGAAGTTGCTGATAGAAATCATCTTTTACCGAATCAGTGCTACAGTTTGTAGGGGCGTAAGCCGCAATGACAAACAAGCAACGTTTGTCCCCGCGCGACTTCGTAGCACGGAACGAACCAGCTAATCTAACGGCGCACATCCTACTGTTGACTGGGATCCAATAGATCAGGGCAGCTTCAGCCCGGGGACTCAAAACAATGCCGACACCAGTTTGACCGGCATTTGAAGCTGCATCATCGCTAGACAGGCGCAATGAGAATGTACCGCCAGTGTCGCATGTGGGGGATCTCAGGGTAAGCACGGAGCTCGAACCTTGCAGGCGGGTTTCTGATAAACAGCAAATATCGATCGACAGGGTATCTAGTGTGCGGGCAAGTGCTGCCTGTTGGCCAATCTGCAGCAAGGTGCGCACGTTGAGGCATGCCAGTCTTAGCGAGACGCGAGGACTCCAAAGGGAAACGGATGAACTGACGTTGTCCGCTTGGTTGAACATGTACTTGTCAACTGGATTGGAGCGAGGCCCTGGGATTGTGTGTGATTTGAAATTAGAAGACAAGCGACTACTGAAGTAAGCTGGGGGAGGGCCAAGAATTGGGGATTGAAAATGGGGGGATATAAGTAAAGTTGGAGCGGGACGATAAGGACGAAGAAGCGCAAGAAGGGGTATAAGAAGACGGGAAGGCCTGAGCAGTAGCATCCAAACCCCTATCCACCGTCCTCGATGCAACAGATAGGACGCCGTTGATTATCCTCTGCGACGGCCAGAGCATCAAGAAATTGTTGTAGGAAAGTTTCATTGTATTGCGTGGGCGGAATACTGTCAGGTTGCCCAGGCCTAGACAGGAGAACGATTAGGGTTCTCAACCAAAGCCTTTGGCTCAAGATCTTTACCGCAAGGCAGCGGGTTTTGGCACTGGACTTAGGAGCCCGTTTTATGAAATGAGGAGCCACCCCCATTCCAACCCCCAACTGGAGGACCAGGAGGCCAATTGTCAAAAAGAAACTTGATTCTCAGTTTAATGAGTTGGGCTGTAACGATCTGCTTCGAATACTTGGCATTGAGAGAAAACCGCTCTTTCAATAATCATATTCTGGACAACATAGAGCAAAAGAACAGATCTCCAGTAAAATTGATTGCGGATGAGAACCTATTTTATACGGTTACCATACAGGGCAAGATTGCTGAGGAACTTTTAGCCAATCGTCTTTCTCATGCATTTAAACACACTTTTACAACAATGGAAATGCAGATCCAAGCCGCCGGTAACCTAATGGCGTACACCCCGACCTCAACGACAACAGGCCTCTCCACACATTGGATCCGTGTGGATTGCATGTTCTCATGTTCATGTGAAGGAAACACCTTTGGAGAACGTTAAATAATAATAATAATAATAATAATAATAATAATAATAATAATAATAATGTGTCAGCTGTACGCCGTAACGGCGCTTCGCTGCCGCGCGACCACCACCAGTCGCGCACGGGCTGAGTATACCGCGAGGACGCCCACCCCTACGCGGATTCGAACCAGTGACCTTATGGTTGCAAAACAAACGTGCAGACCACTCGGCCACCAGCTGACTTGGAGAACCTTAGTGACTGTACTTAAAAGTAACCGACCTCTTAACAACCGCACATCAAAAGCCGCGCAATTGGGACAATTGAATTATTCATAACTACCTATCACGTCGCTATGTAAGCGACAAACCGCTTGTTGTACAAACAGGAATTGTGCATTTGAATGTGACCAAATGTTAGGACCACCCTGGTGCAAACATATTGTGACCTCTGATCAGCAGAATCGGGCACCAGCTGTATCCGTGACCCAAGTAACAACGATGATATCCGAGCGCAGCGCAACGATTGAATAGTCTGTCCACACACACACACACCCATGGCGAAGAACATGCAGTTGCACAAACCTGCCAGTAAGATGCTTCGCTTTTTAAGTTGTCAATGTGTATCGTGCTGTCCGCATAAGACGGAACTGAGGGTGTAACACACCCTGATTTCAGCGTGACACGTTTTTCACGACGTTGAAATAGTGTGTATGTGTGTGTGGTTTGCTAGGATGCTAGTGCAAGCGCTTTCATTCCATTCGTCCATTTTGCCTCCTACAGTTGTCACTGATCGGCGTAAACACTAGCTCAGTGGAACAACGGACACTAAAGCTCTTGTCTCCATCTCTTTAACGCACGTTGGCACGGATTATTAAACTACCGTAGCACGTAGCAGGAATCTCTAGGGTTAGCTAGTGCATTCACTGTCACATTGGCAGGAAGGATATCACGACCTTGGCCCTCATATATTTTTAAATTTTTTCTTGACATTCTACATCAGGCTTTCATTTTTCTATGCGCTAATACGAACACTGGTAAGTTTGCAGCCTGTATATGCTTATCTTCCATTTCGAAGGAATACTCTGCATGGGAACAGTACTCGTGGAGACGGTTCCACGGATGATTGTATTACTTTGCTTTGAACACTTAGCTGCAGTCCACTCTGCTATGGTGATCAGCCAAAAACATACCCAACGTTTTCTCTTGTGAGTAGTGTATCAATGCATGAACCTGTCCATGGCGATCACCTTTTGTCGGTCCCTTGAGTAGTTGCCTTAGATAGGTTTGACTGTATTGTTCCCAATTTCCTAGTTCTGATAAATTCAAACTCAGTTACCAAAATTCGTTAATAAACCACACTGAAAAATGTCCAGTCATTTGTTTTACGTAATCTTGCTGTATATTTGGGATCAGATCACTGAATTGGGCTGCGTCTCACATTGTCCAGTAATACACCGCTTATTATCACTACTATTAAAAGATCAGAAGAAAGAAAGAAAGATCAGAAGAAATACGTCGCCAGTGACGATGATCTGCAGTTCACAAGGTGAATCGGACTCACCCAAAATAAGACCGAAAAAATTGGCTTCCCTAGCGGCATCCACAGCGGCCTTGCGTCGTGAGCGCATCACAGTGTGGTCGTACTGTTCGTGTGTAAGCGATTTGTCATACGGATTGTATCGGTATGCGGGTAACAACGGATTGGCGATCATCACGGACTCCAGATGAAAGCGGCCGTCACCGAGATAAATCAGCGCATCAGCGTTTTGAATCTACTGGCACAGAAAGACAGCGTGTTGACAATGGTAATTTGTCCAACCGAGTTCAAGTGAACGCTAAAGTGTGCGATGGGGCCAACCATCACGACTCGCATCAATGTGGGTACAATGAGGAGAAATAATTGTGGGAAAATGAGATCGACCATAAACAAAAGTGGGAAGAATGAATTAGGGAAAAATCAGAGTAAAATTAGTCAATTTGGGGAACTAGCAGCTAGGTGCGAGAGACCAAACAGGGGAGCACCAATGGCTCCACGAATGCAAGGCGAGATCTCCGGCAGACGATATGACCGATTCCCTGATGTTCTCGTCCAAGAAATCGAAACGTACCGGCCCGATCAAGTTCCCAAAGTTAACTTTGTCGCGCCTTTTGCCACGTCTTTGATCGCTTAATCCGCTATTTCTCCAGACTGAGTGCATCAGCGATGATAACCAATGCTCCCGAGAGCCTGCAGTCAACGGGTATACGGAGGACGCGGTTCGACTTTCATAGACGTCCAAATGCGCAGCACGGTGAACTTCGACCTTGCTCTCCCAGTGAACTTACTAGACAGAACCACTACTTCGCAACGATAAAGGCGACCGATTTGCTAGTGTCTTCAACAGGAAGTAGCTGCGTTTCTGATTTATGCCAAAACACTGGTCACACCATAGGATTATAGCTCTTTCAGCACCCTATAAGCTGATAGGTTCTATGGATGATTAAAATCCTAAAATACCGCACAGACATCACTGATACTCATATGACTTGATTTCTGGAGGTAAAATATCGACCAAGGTAATTGAACCAGCCGACCACTTTGAGATTATTTGGTGATGGATGAAAATGCTGACAACCTGGCCAAGTATTGCCAGTGCACCGCATTTTTGAGGTGTGGGATGAGCACCAGAGCGAACCTCGTTTTAAGTTGATTTGTGCGAAAGCACCAATAAAAAGGCCGGATCCCACTTGAGATAAAAAAATTAATAGTTTTGGAGCTGCTCTCATTCAATACTGTACTCCACGACCAAGCGGTTTCGTCCTAAGTCGGATTCATCGGGTAGAGATAAACTGAGCGCTGAGGGGGAACCCGACCTATAGTGGTTGACGTCTTACGCCCTAGTTACTAGGCAAGATCTCCACAGCTATTAGAAGCTCATTATTGGGTACTAGAGCACCAGCTATGTGTCTGGATTGCGACACGCAATCTCGATTGAGGCCAGTTTCCTTTGAAGCAAATCTCCGCCATTTCGATCACTGGGACCGCATCCGAAGTGGAGTTTCGGATCTGTTCTCCCCAAATCCTGCGCTTCGCTCTCAACTCAAACTATCTCTAACTAACGAGTCCAAATCAGGACGAAACAGTTCGGCCGTGTAATGCAGTGTTGGAAGAAAGTCGCTCCGAATCTCTCTACTTCGGATGCGGTCCCAGTGATCGAGATGGCATAGGTTTGCTTCAAAGCAAACTGTAGCCTCGATCTAGATTACATGCCGCAAACCAGACACGTAGCGGGTACTCCAAGAGCCAATAATGAAAGAAGAAATAAATAGTTTATTTATCAACTATGCGAGACAGTCCAGGTTGTTGGTCTGATGTGCGCTGGAGTAAATAGGTAAATACGTACGAACCCGAGTTGGTGAGGCACACCACATTTGGCGTGATCAGTCAGTCAAACAAAAAGTAATGTATCGACCACATCTGGGTCGGTAGAACGAAAAAATACTGCAAGGTAGTAGTCTATGCGTCCGTAAAACACTGGTAAATACTTGGCCTGTGGTTTAGCATGACATTGCAACGGAGTGGGAGGCAGTTGGAATGTGAAGTGCCACAGACGAGTGGTTTGGGCTGAGAAGATTGATGCATTTCTTTACATAAAAGTATCAGTTCTCCAGAATTATTGGTGGAGAAGCAAAATGCCAATCACCCAAGCGGAATCGAGGATTTTCCCGCAGTAGTTGCGCGAGGATCTCAGATCGGTAGTCCATATACCCTAAGTTTATCGATCGGTAGACCTTCTACTCCAGAATGGAGTTGCGTAACAGAGTGATTTATGTCAATCTATGGCAAAGTCGAAGAGAAAATGGTGTAGAAAGCAATCTTGGCGCACCACACTGCCGAGGGGGAACTCAGGATACAACTTCTCAAACACACTTACTCGGCACACGAAGTTACAGAGGAATGCTTTGAAAACACAAAAATACCACATATTGAGGACACACCTCGAAAAGCAAGTCATGGTAAGAAAAGAGGCAGGTAAATTGCAATTCAAAGTGGTCAGTACCAAAATAACAACATGACCGCATTTTAGGTTCCGTAAAAGCCAACATTCTTCACATAACTGATCCACATAGATCAAGAAAGCTCACCCGATATTGTAGTGCGCACGCTAAATCCAATACAACCACTGAGTGAGCGTGTGGGACTAGACATACTGTATGGACACGGCTGAAAAAAGTATACCTAAAGTGCACTAAATCTAGGTGCTTTAAAATAAATCAAAGTTGAAATTGGGTGCTGTCATTGCAGTACATATGTTAAGTAGAGAAACAATCCGGCTGTTCATTTTATAAGTGCGCTTTTTCTCCATGTACTTGTTAATCGATGCGCGAGAACGGGATGACGTCAAAAATACACGGTCCAGTAATATGTCCGGAAAGGAAGAATTTCGGAGTTAAACTCAGATTGCACAGATCATTGGTCCGATGCCACAATCAGTGCGATACGTTTAGTCACAAATGTAGAACGTGAGGAGCGGAGAAACATTGATTCAAGTTACTCGAGACTGGTGTTAAGGTCATTAGCAGGTGAACATAGAAGCCCAATGGCTGGACACCGACAACGGTCGTGTCAATCTTCAAAAGAGGTCAACGGGCTCTTTGTGATAATAATCGAGGTATTAACCTCAAAATTTCCCACGGATATTATTCTCCGACGAATCACGTCAGAATCGAATCATTGAAATGTAAGCATCTACCACATGTTTACTCTTCGCCAAGTGTTAGACAGACACACACAGACGACCGACTACTCTGGAAGTCTTGGACCACAAAGCCTCCTTCGACTCTGCTGACAGAGCAAACTTGTGTCATTTGGATAGACTTGTTGGCATGGCCAGGAGCAGATCTTAATGGCGTTTGCGTTGGGTTTCTGTTTCTCCCTCCCGCTTAGCTTCGCCACCCAACCACGACCACACAATCAATGAATAATATGAAATTAAACACAATATTACTTGTGTTTGGTCTTTAGTTTGTATTCCGTGATGATAAGTATCTCGCCATTTTCAGCTATCTTATGTATCTTCATAGTAGCTTCTATCATTCAGTATACGTACAATCATGGTGATGACCTTGTACCATAGCCTATCGATGAAGAGAATGCCTAGAAAACGACTTTCCATTCTGAAGACTCTACCGTGATTCCCAAGGAGGTGGGATACGCCAAGTTGTCCTTTCCTCCTCCTTTCCTCTTCAACTTTGTGATTAAAATGATCATGAGTAACTCCGTTTTTTGAAACTCTTCCAAAGTGGAAGTTCTGACAGGTGACCAACTGACAAACCTTGAGTATGCGGACAGCTTTTCTTGGCTATGCAAACACTGACGCGCAGCGTTGCACGCTTTGGCATGTGCTTTGCACCTTCAAAGTTGTAGAACTGCGCCGGCACACACTTCTGGTTCCAGCTATCACCGAACAGCCATTGGAAGTGGCGAATCGGTTCACTTACCTTGGTAGCTGGGTCACCTATAGTGGTCACATCATTGAGGTTAATTCGCGTATCAATAAGACCCGTATGGTGAGGTATCAGACTGTCAGTGAAAAACGCTTCGATATGGCCGACCATACTGTATGGATCAGAGAGCTGGACATGTCTGACTACCGGCGCTTGTGGAGTATTGCACACTTCTGATAGTAACACCAGGTGGGCAGTGCTGATGACAAAAAACCTTCCGGTGATTTTTAATCGCTTAGGCTGGCCCGTTGACCAGCTTCCTCGGCGTGTATTATATACCCCGGCTGCACCAAACTGGGCGAAACGGCGTGGTGGTTAGTCGATGACGCGTCATAAAAACATGCAGAAGGCAAGAGACATTTGATCAAAGCTGGTGCATGCCATATTCGTGCATGGAGACCCTGGGATGGTCAACACCAGTGGGTAGAAACTCAGTCGGTGGCGTTCCTGTATTTGGTTTCTTGCATCCAGTAGTTAATTCACGTTTCATCCTGATTAGTAGAACGCATCTCCTTCTCGATTCCATTTTCGTATTCTATTAGGGTTCAACATCATTTTCTTACCATTGTCGAATCGTGGCAACTAGATTCACCGCATTTCAGCTGTTTAACTGAACTGTACTGGTGGCCAACAATGCTTGTGGTGCAAGAAAAACGATACGAGCAGGACGTGACAGATTTATTACTGACAAATAAAGATGAACCACTCAGGAGTTGAATTGATAGCTCAGCGAGACTCACGCATTCGCATGGAGGACGGAGAGATGATTCCGTCTATCAAATCCGGAAACTAAGCACGAATGGAACGCAACCTACGCACATTTCAAGCGAACCCACAAAAACCAGACTGATTCGATTAGTGGTCAAATGACGACAACAGTATAGCTGCTTGTCAGCTGGCTCTGCATGCAGAGTGCATGTCGCGTTCGATCGATGACAGCTACACTAGTTGACGCAAGAGTATGGTAAGCAACAATGCATTAAAGTTGGCCTGCTAACTTTTGTCGGCAGATGCACGGAGGATGGTGACAGGGAAGAGAGACTAACTTCGGTTCGTCCGAACAAGATGGTGAGCTACGTGTGTCTGCTTTAGCAGCTACTTAGACACGGTTAACTCTGACATCAAAGCTGCGATTGGCCATAGGCCGAATCTCCCCTAGTTGTTGTAGTGGCGTGTTTCGATTGTTCGTTCGTAAAATTACATTCCATGTGGCCGATTTTCTTCTAAAAGCCATCAGTAGTACGCCCGACACACCGCACCGACGCTTCGCTGCCACGCAAATAACACCGCCGGTCGCGCGAGGGCTCGGTAGACCGCGAAGTCGCCCGCAGATACGTGAATTCGAACCGGCGATTTCAGGAGTAAAACGCAAGCGCGCAACCATCTCGGCCACCAGCCGAAAGGCAGCTGTGACTGGGAGTGGAACTCAGTACGTTTGATCAATAGGCTACTGAGAATCGCGAAACGAAAATCGTGCAAAGAAACGGTACAAATGGGGGATATCATGTGGCACATGTTTCCCTGAGCCTTCATTACAAAATTTAACTGGAACAGTTATCAAACAGTGAGTATTTAGCTGAGATTGTTGCTAGTGTGAGTGAGAAGTAAGAGCAAACTATCACTATAGAAGCCGGCAGACAGTGATGAAGAAGATGACAGGGATCAACTATAGTTGGCTAATTCACTGACTATCTATTTCATGGTTACATTCAACTGAGTGAACTACTTGTAAACACATACTCGAGTAAGCGAAGTCTCACATCAAAATTACGATCAGTAGTAGTAGTAGATGAACCCCCATAATCAACCGAATGGAAACAATAAAAGAAAGTGATTTCCCTAAAACACTGTTGATGTAATCTGTAGAAGATGAGCTGCAGTGTAATGCTAAGCTGCTTCAGTGATAGTATCACAAAATGCGTATCCCCCTGAACACTGGGGTGCATACGGATGATGTCTACCGACGAGAATTCACCGCCAAATCTGACGTGTCCGCGTTTCAAACCAACTGAATTGTGGTCTACAAAACAGAAATACTCTATGTTACTTCCAGTGAAGGAATGGTTTAATGGAACTGTGCCGACACCACATGAAAAGAACATGATTTCTATACTCTTTCCCGAACGCTAACAGAAAGACATCGTTTTATACTGAATAGCGGTTAGAGTCCAGGTAGCAAAAGCACATCCACGACTGCAGAGATGTAAAATTCCCTGTTTTAAATAGCTCTTTGTTCAGACCAGCTTAGGACCCTCAGGTTAGCAATCATTTCACTCTTGTGGTAACGCGACTGTTGACGTTATTCCTTGTTTATCACTGTGATCGCCGGGAATGACACCGGATACACGGGTTGCCTGCCGTGACTCCGTGGCTAAACGGTTAGCGGTTTCGGCTAACATCTCAACGGTCCTTGGTTCTGCTAGGAGTGTACGTTTTCTCGTGCACAAATCTGCGTAGCACGTGATTTGCGTTCACTCAACCAGCTGCCCAAAATACCAGAATGAGCGGACCCCAAGGTCGACTCAGCTGATGCCTAACGCACCGGAAAGATATCGATCAACAGACCAGTGTTGAGTTGAAATAAACATAAAGTGTTAGGTGTACGCCGTAACGGCGCTTCGCTGCCATGCGACCACCACCAGTCGCGCGCGGGCTGAGAGTATCGCGAGGACACCCGCTCCTACGCGGATTCGAACCGGAGACCCTATGGTTGCGAACCAGGCGCGCAGACCACTCGGTCACCGGGCGACAGATTTGAAATCAGTACCCATGATCGAACGCGCATTTGGCTAGTGCAGGCTGTCGGAGTCACCACGATTGGTGATGAAACGTCTGAAACGAAATATTTCGACTCGGAGAACAAAGCTAAACCTGAACAGACAACCCGAGCTATAGGTATTCCACTTTATTGCTACTTCCAAAAGCATTGACGTAATCAAGGAAGAGAAGCTGCATATTCGTGCATTTCGTATTCAATGAAGATACTGTAGTGTGAACAAGATATGCTATGAGATCCAACGTGGAACGTCGGTGTCTGTATACAAACTGAGACACGTCCATGACCAGAGTTCCTGTTGAGATCCAAGGCACAAGTAGCCGCTCGAAGATTTTCATAACGACAGACGTACAGGCGATCGGACGGAAGATGTAAAATCCAACGGTTGGCCGGCCAGAGTGTAGATAGGCCCATTACCGCCCTTCCCAAGGCTTTTACATGAGGACTTGACTGGGTTTAGCAGTAGACTGACCTCTGCAGATCACAGAGACAGACGGTCGAGGTCTTGATGAAGAACTTCGCAGTCGTCGAGAGCAACAGTTCCTCTCCAATTCTCCAGGTCGTCTGCAAACATATCACAGAAGGACTGAAGAAGCTGAGGTACTTCGTTGATGTGGATCAAAAACAAAATTGGTCTCGGCCGGTGGCCAAGTGGTCTGCACACCTGGTTTGCAACCATAAGGTTCCAGATTCGAATCCGCGTAGGATTGGGCGTCCTCGCGGCATACACCGTCCGCGTGCGACTGGTGGTGGTCGCACGGCAGCGAAGTGCCGCTCCTGTGTATAGCTGGCACATTATTTATCATTATTATACCACTAATGGAAGGGTACCGGTCGGTCAGCTAGCCATCCACCTGTAACCTACAGTTCCGCCCATTAAAGAAGTCATTGATCCACTAGCGCAGGGAACCACAAACATCCCTAGCTTGTTGAGGAGGATATGGTTCACATTGCCGAATGCTTTGCTGAAACCGAAGTAGAGCAAATTCACGCTTGCAAGCGTTTTTGCCACGTCAACAGCAGGTTGGTGATACAGAAACGATATTTTGTGAAAATGCGCTGTGTAGGCGTGAGTTTCCCCAACTTCAGCATTTCCAGTAGACGCTTTTCAAAATCTTATCGAGTACTTTGGCCAAAATGGAGGTCAGACAGATCGGACGGTAACTGTTCACTTGGCTGGACTCACCCTCTTTCGGAGTCGACTTCATTACTGAGCACTTCCAGTCGCTAGGCAATGCACCTTCGGGCAACGATCCGTTGAAAAAATCAGTCATGGATGGCGAGATGATGGCAATCAATGAGTTGAGAGTCAGCGGGTGGATGCCATCGTGACCGGCAGGCTTCGCACCGTCAAGACTGGCAAGTTGGTTGCGGATATTACAGTCCAGGCTCTCGAACTCAATACGGGCTGCAGCACACGTCCGATCGGTATCCTAAAGGTAACAATTTTGTCTTGTAATCTGATGGCGCAGGTTCGAGCCTACGTAGGGGCAGGGCGACCCTCGCAGTATCCTTAAAGCACGTGCGATCGGTGTTGGTTGCGCGGCAGCAAAGCGTCGGTACTGCATACCGGCGTACTGTGGATACCATTCTTTTAGGTCCAATTGCAAATATAGAAGCGACATGCGTGGTCAACGCGGACGAACATGGATTGCTGGAGTTCGTACTGTGAAAGTAGATGGCAAAAACGATCAAACAAGAAATACATAGTAATGTGGCTAATTGGTTGCGCCTCAAACGTTCGGTTGAATCTGTAGCTGGTGAAAAGAGACCGAATATCAGGCAGCTGCGTTCATCTTCTGCTCATGATTAAAATTGCAGATCGAGTAATCCGTTCCAGAGTGTGGGACAATGGATGTAGGGATAAAGGCTACGCACTGGGTGGATTAAAAACGGTGGGAAGCTAGAAAAATGCAGCAAGAGAGGCAGAAAAGCAAGAAACGATACTACTAATGATGAACGAAAGAACAGTTGAATGGGGACCTGGATGTATCAAGAAAACGTTTGATGCGATCGTCGGCCCGTAACCTGAAGGATCGCAAGCCTGCCTTGAAATTCGAGGGCGCGAGTTCAAGCATGCGTATGGACTGGGCGACCATCGCAGTATCCTAAGCACACACGTGCGACTCGTGGTGGTTACGCTGCAGCGAAGCGTCGGTATTGCGTATCGGTGTACGGTCATAAACGTCTTCCGATACCAAGATTTGAACTTAGAGATGCGGAATCTTCAGGGGTAATGAGGCAAGATAATGATACTGGACAGTAAAGTAAAGTCAATATAGGCTTTATGTACTCGAGTGGGTACACATTTTCAGCAATCTACAATAGCCACCGCAGGCGTTTTAAAACAACATCATCTGACGTGCAAAATGTTAAAACGGGAAACAATGGCATTATAGTACAAGTGTTACTCGAATAAACAGTCCCGATTCCGCATACTAATGACGGTTAAAGCCAATTTTATCGATCCGGATGATGATTTCTTAAATTACAAAACGCTTTCCGATAACTTCGATCAATATGCGCGGTCAACAATCTCGGTGAAAACTGATAAATTCGCAGAAGAAAAAGTAACGACGATGCCCCGATGAAAAGGCCCTTATCTCCTCTTAGAGAGGATACTTTGAAGCCTGTCCTGTGCAGGAATGGGTACCGCAACCGGGTTAGACAATGGATAAGTTCCTTTGCTTGGTGAAGATACGAAAGCCTCGACCACAGTACCAATGGTCCGGTATGAGCAGCGATGATCGGTAGCTGCGTTTACCTCGCGAGACGTGATCCTAAAGGAGCAATAATGGATCCTGGACTGCGAACAACCATAATACCTTCTCCAGCCATAACCATAACCGGGCTTTCGTAGAATACAATAATAATAATAATACAATAATACTAATACAATAATACAATACAATAGTACAAAAACCTGACAGTCTACAGTGAGGGTAATGCAGACGAAACGAATAGTAACAGGCTCAAACAAGGACAAGATTGATGGAAAGTAACGTGAAAAACCCACTTTGGGTGATGTACATCCCAACACTTCACCGGGAGACAACGGAGCCACCTGAGGAATGGTGATTTTGAACCCGATTTTTTCCAACGCTGTTTTGGCCGCCTGAAGACTAGTCACGAATTGGATTGTAGAGACTAAGGCCAAATGCAGAGTTGATTCGAAATTATCCCTCAAACTGTTAATAAAATGTGCCAAATCGATACCGATGTCAACGAACACATACCTGCAAAGGGAACGTTGGCGATGAGAACTTAAGATAATGACAAAGGCATGATCATGCATTGTTTAGAATATTTGATTAAGTCGCAGATCATAAGAGCTATTCAGGGGAAATGATGGTAACGGTATCTGAGTTGAATGAGTAAACGGTATTGCCACGAAACAGGATCTTACAAGGGGGCACAGAATAGGTGAATGTTACATTTCAATCCACACAGACCAGGTAAACAATTCCGCTTGCAACTGGGAACTTTCTGGAATCAAGTCAATAGGCTAAGAGAATAGTCTGAAATTGCACAAAACGTTTCGGAGTGCCAACTGCAAACTTCTTCAGTCGAGCATGTTGCGAGCAGGCGCCGAGAGTTAAATAGAACGAATAATTTACTTCTTGATGGTACCACGAAAACACTGAGACAATGCAGCGAAATCAGCTCACTCAAGTGACTTCCAGTAAAAAACAGTGGATCCTGTAGGATGTCTAGGGTTCCCAAGTTCCTTAGTCGATACAGCGAATAGGATTATAAAATTTTGAACCAAAGTGAAGCTACAGCTTCGTGAAATTAGCTCCTTGCTACACCGCTACTGATCGTACGACTACCAAGGAAATTTTCGTGGTTAAGGAATTTGTAATACGATAAAAAGCAAAGTGCAAAAATATAAAAGCAAATGGAAGCCAAGCTAGGTGTTAAACACAACAACCTTTGATCTAAAACGAGGAAGATCCATCCCAATGGTACTGGATCTTAAGGTTGGCGGTGATTTGCCCCCCCCCCCCTGCGGTTCATGCAGCCATGATGGTCAGCCAGGTAAAAACGGTCTCAATATATTCCATTCTGGAAGCTGGAGAGATGATGTTCCTTTCATCCAAAACAAGTATCATTATTCAACATTCGATACAGATTCCTCAAATGACCAAGAACGACGATGAAGACTGGGACAGCTACTCAAGTCGCGTGAATCATGGACGATTGAAATTGGGGTCTTCACACAACCAAAGATGCTGATGTTCGAAGGATACTGAGAAGAATTGAGCAAAATCCCGATGTTACACTGCAGGAAATCATAAACGAATGCTAAAGAATGATGACCTAGAGTCATGATGTCAGGTTAATTCCGGTGATCAGTATATTAATACAATCTGTTTCGTGACAGACCAGCCGGGATTGAATCTGCTGGGACTTAGTTGGATGGACGAGTTGAACTTGCTCGACCTGTCAGTTAAATAAATAAATAAATAAATTTGTATATTTACCGACGGACGGTACACGGCCCCATAAGTGGGAGCGATCATTTGCAAGCAGACGTAAGTCAAGCAACTTGTACAGACGCCAAAAGTGAACCCCGAGTTCAACAATCCAATTGCAGAACTGAAGCGTCGCCATAAAAGTCTGCTGAAAACCGGTGTCGGATGTTGTCAAATAGCCAGATGCAAGAACAGTTTTCAGGCAAAAACTTCCAGTATCGTATACAACTCAACCGAGACTGAGCAACGTCGGCCGCAATCAGAAGGCATAATTGAACGTATGCGTTAGTTAGAATGGCCGGCACTTATCATTGTAATGAAGAAAGGAAATAGAAAGATGCGCCTTCGCGCTGATTTCTCAATTGCCTTAGGTTCTATGTTGGAGAGTCATCAGTATCTCTTACCTACACCTGAAGATTGGTTCAGAAAGCTTTGCGATGGTAAATAGTTTGCGAAACGACCTAGCTCATGCGTGCCCACAAGTTCCAGTGGCCGAAGGCTGCAGAGAGTTACTGGCACATCTTGGGCTTTTCCAATCCAATCGGCTGCCCTTTGGAGTGAAAACCGTACCGGCCATTTCTCGACAAACCATGGATACGCTGCCGAACGACGTTTCCAAAGTTGTAGTATACCTGAACGGGACAAGTCAACGGCTAATCCTATTTGATTCCTTCGCAAATTGGCCCGAGGTGATTCCAACGCACAATCTCACTGCCCAGGACAATGTCGATGAGCTGAAGAGATCGGTGAAGTATTTTGGCACACTAGAAATGTTAGCACAATTCGACTCAAAGCTGTTTCGGGAATTTTGCACGCAAAAGTGAATCCAAAATAAATTTTGGCCGCCGTACTATCTACAATCTAATGGACAGATCGAACGGTTCGTGGACACCTTTAAACGTGCTTTACACGAAACGGGAGGAACAGAGGTGTCATGTGATGTAGTTCAGCCATTTAAAGGAGATACCGGAACACTTCGAATGCAAACACCCCGGATGGAAGGAAATAGAAAACAATCATCAGTTGACCGTTGTAACAGCACTTCGCTGTCGCGCGATCACCAGTCGCGTGTGGGCTGAGTATACTGCGAGTACGCCCGCACCTAAACGGATTCGAAGTGGTGACCTTAGGATTGAAAGACGGGTGTGCAGACCACTCGGCCACAGGCCGACCCTTCCTACTACACTACTAATGAGCAGTCGCCTTAGCAGCTTACGTGTCACCTCGATTGGTGACGGCTTGTAAAGGAAGTCGTAGCTCTGCGGGCCAGTGCTGTCCTTTGCGCGTTCGTAATATGCATGACAGTGGAGAAAGAGCCGCACTATATTGCGGTCCGGTGCCATCATTCATGACTCAATGGCGTAAGTCGCTGACTCGTAAGAGTAAGGTTCGCGCATGCGCGCTACTGATGAGTCCCAATGGAAAGAAACGGCCGTCTAGCGGGTTGTTGGATATGCAGCGGATGTCTCTAATTCTAGCAGCGGGGGTGGAAAAGCTCCAGCGGAAGGTCTCATTGGACAAAAATCTGAACATCTGACAATCACATTTCCGGAAATGACGATAAACACGGCAACGAACAAGCAAAAGGACAGCCAAGCAGACTACGTACGTCCAAAATTGGCGACTTGATTTTCGCACAGAATTTTCAAGGCTTGGAAAGGTGGTCTAGCGGAACGGTCATGGATAAGAGAGGGAAGGCTACTTACGAGATTATTGCCGGTAATAAAGTGTGGATCAGGCACACAAATCATCTGCGACCACATTACGGAAATATTCAGAAACCTCAAACCCGGCAGCAATGCACTGAGGTATACTGTCAGATACATGTGGTTTAAAAAATGGAAACGAGCACCCAAGTGAAACCCAACCGATTGCACATGCAGAATACGTGAACAACTGAAGTGGCTTCAGGTCGACCCGAGGGCTAAAAACTATGACGAAAACTAAGTGGGGAAAACATGCGGTCGTAATCAAATCGAAGGGGTGTTAAACAGCCAAACGGAGCTAATAACTCCGCAGGGGTTTCGCGCCAGACGTGCGAAGGGCCGACGTGTGTGGTTGGCGACGGCCTGTGAATCACAAGCCTGCCTTGCAACCCGGAGGTCGCGGGTCCGAGCCTGCGTAGGGGACCGGGTGGCCCTCGTAATACCCTTAGCCTACACGCAAATGGTGGTGGTTGCGCGACAGCGAAGCGTCGGTACTACGTTTCCGCGTACTGCTGATGCATCTTTGTGCGTGTGGTTGGCGAACTCAGGTGAGTGTCGATCATGTGATGGGGTTTCTATCCTGGCACGCGCACAATGGCCAAATGTGAACCACACGCGAGATGTGCATGACTAGCAAACTCGGGTGTAGGTCGACTGAGCGGACGAGGGCCGTGTCTAGTCACTAACTGCCAACCATGTCAAACTAGGCTGGGATAACGCGCTCACTTCGGTTGAGGCCAGGACGCCGAAGATGAGGTCATAATTGTTTCCAAAATTAGGATACATGATTGAGTTGTAAATAGAACCGTCCTTTTCATAAAATATACAACGTTTACCGAGTCATTACTTTTGGTTTTCGCTGTTGAATTGCGCGTAAGGCAGAGCAGGCCGTCGGAAGCAGTACTGAAGACAAGGCGTTAGAACGAAAAACGACTATTTTCAGTGGTTAAACGGTTGAAGTGTTGGTTAAATTTTTTAGTAGTAGCAGTTTGCAGTCTGACGGTCAAAAGTACACGCCGAAGCAGTCAAACTCATACTTAGCACCTGGATTCGACTCCAATAAATTTATGTCGTTCGCGTACCTTGATCAGAAGGGCCATTTCCATAAAAGAAACACAAGAGAATTTGTTGGATGAATCATTTTGAGGCGCTCATTGTGTGCGTGGATTGCAATACGCAATCTCAAGCTAGGAAGAAAGTTACTATTGGAGGTGATGTCAATCTATACTCAATGCGTAGTGACAGCAGGACCGCGAGTGAAACCCGGAACTTTAAGACGTCAGCCGAAACCTCTGAAAATAAGGCACGCAGTTGCGGTGGCCAACGCTTCGTGCAATGGTTGATGACCCATCCGCCAATGGCCGAAAGAATTCGCGCCTGGTTTGTGAAGCAGAGGTCACCGGTTGGAATCCGCGTAGGTGCGGGCAATCTGGAGGTATATACAGCCCACACGCGACTACTGGTGGTGGTCACGTAGAATCAAAGCGTCGGTACGGTGGGGTGCCGGCGTACTGCTGATGCCCATAGAGGTCATTTTGAAGTCCCCTGTTGTAACGCTTCTACTTTCACTGTTGCAACGCTTCTTCTTCACTGTTGTAACACTTCTTCTTTACCTCTGCTCTCTGTCACAGACGACTGTCGTACTGGTGATAGCTGCTCCTTAAGACTGCGACTGCCTGACTGATCAGTCCCGCGCCCAGCCAACCGACGGAATATAAAAGGCCAGAATTAGGTAGACAGAGAGAGACGTATTGTATGAGAGCACGGCCCAATAAAAAGGGTTGTGGACAACTACTAACATGATAATATTAGAGATGCTAATTGATGTTAATTAATACAACGCAAATGGCTCAAGTTCATGACCCAACTTGCCGCTGATTCCACATCGATTCGCATTTTGATCTGTACTCGAGTTCGATCTCTAGTTGTAGATCGATCCGCTTCTACGCCACTGCTCTCGGCTTGATCGCTGGCTGTAATCTATCTCTCCGTAACACCCCCGTTGTGTGAATAGATTACAAGAAATCTCAATCAGGGTCATAATTTTTTTGAATTGAAAATGACGAGCGCGAAACCTAACGTGGAGGGCCGGTTGCGAAACCTGGCCCCTTAGA